CTTCGGGCGCCTTGGAGAATAGCCTGACTCCCTCTTCTTTGTGGCAGCCCCTGAGATATTGGAAGACGACCCCCCTCGTCCTTCTCTTCGTTAAACTAGGCATGTCTAGAGGGGAATTGGCCAATGACTTCAAGAAACCATCTGAGAGGGATTTGGCTCAAACACAGCCGCAGCAGGACAGCCCTGAGGCTTCAGGTGGGGAAGGCCTGCAGCTATAACCGGTCAGTGATGAGGAAGAGGAACTGCCTGCTGCACCTGATCCAAGAACAGGCAGAGAAAAGGCCGGAGCGGAGAAGGCCAGCCAGATTACTCAGGAGAAGAAAGCCTCGCCCTTCTTGATGGGCTACACCAGAAGCTGGCTCTTTGGCACAGCAGACAGACGGAGGCGATGCTGGGAACAATGTGTTCATTTCCTAGCTGTGTGTTTTCTGGTTGTTGTGATGCTTGCCTTGTTTTGGATTGACACCGTGCCTAGACTTGGATCGTGCCTTGTGAACTTTGGACTTTCCCTGCCTTGTGAACCCTCTTGTGGATTTAATTTCGCCTGGTGGGTTTATCTCGTTTGGGAAACTTCCAAGGTCCTTGTGGACTAGCCTCGGTCCGCTTTTGGCCAGACTTAATTGGGACAGTTCTGGGTTTTTGATGAAAGGGAATTGCTGGGGAATATTAATAAGCCCACTGAACCACCGTTAACGTGTGCGTGTGAGCGAGCGGGAGAGCACGACATGCGATGGCAATGCGAATGCTCTGATGGCGACTTGGACTCGCGCGATTCAACCAGACATCTGACATCGATGAGGAGTTGTGCCAATTGTAGCAAAAAGGTGGGAAGGAATATTTAAGATGGCACGGACACATTCTACGCAGTAAAAAAGACTCGGTGTTAAGGACAGCCACGCGCCTGGACTCTGATGGCCAGCGACCCCATGGCAGACCCAAGGAAAGGTGGATGGACTGCATGAAGGAGGACATGAAATACGTAGGTGTCAGCCCTGGAGACACCCCGGATTGACCCACATGGACACAGCTTTGAGGGGTCCTTGGTGCCCTCTGAGCTTGCTTGTTTTCTTGAAGACATTTCATGACCCAACTAGATAACCTCATCAGTGCAGTTTGCTGTCTGTTTATATTCTAGTGTCTTGCCTGTCTCTGTGGGGGGGGCAGTCTTAGGGATTCTCTGGTTGGGCTGCTTACTAATGACTCTGTGTTGGTCTGAAATTAACCTTGGAGTTAATCTATGTTGATCTGAGTGCTGATTGCTGGTGGGGAGGTGCTGGAGTCTTTTTCACTTTGGAACTTGTTGATTGTCTCTTTTGCATAGTCTGTACATGTTGTTAATGTCTATATACCCATTAATATAAACTGACAGCAAACAGCACTCCTTACTGGCACTGGTGATGTTACCTAGGTGGGTCATGAGACGTCTGCAAGTAAACAAGCAAGCTGAGAGAGCACCAAGGACTCCGACTCCTTTTCTGCCTCCTTCCTGCAAATTCTCTCCCTTCTAGCATTGATGATGTTACCTAGTTGGGTCATGAAACGTCTGCAAGGAAACCACCAAGCTCAGAGAGCACCAGACCCCATAGTCCTCCTCCTCCCCACAATCCCACTCCCTTCTAGTACTGATGATGTTATCTAGTTGGGTCATGAGACGTCTGCAAGAAAACCACCAAGCTCAGAGAGCACCAAAGACTCCACAGTCCTCCTCCTCTTCCCCACACACCCCACTCCCTTCTAGCACTGATGATATTACCTAGTTGGGTCATGAAACGTCTGCAAGAAAACCACCCAGCTCAGAGAGCACCCAGGATCTCTCATTTCAACCCTGAGCCACAGATACTCTCCTTCATTGGAGACAGCTTTGCCAACAAGCCGACGCTGCCATAAAGCGGGAATGACGCTAGGAAGATGACCGAGGTACTACTACGTTTGCGAGCAGAATTCCCCTCCTCTTTTCCCCCCCATACGATTGTTACTAAATTGGGAAATCTGGGAAACCCTCGTTTTGGTTGGGAAATCCGCGCGCAGCAACCCTCCCACCACCTCCTCTCTTTTCCACAACCGGAGGAAGATTATCCCTGGCGGATTATCCAAAGCGGCTTTGCTGTACAGATTCGGCAGCTGCGTGATGTCCAAAATTTGCTTTTTATTTACATTTCAAGTCAAATCACATGCGAACGCCCGCCCCGTCCCGCCCGGTTGTTTTTTTTTGTAAGAAGAGTGTGATTAGCAAAAAAGATGCATTAGAATTTTAAAACAGCAATTAAATATACAAAAATAGAGCTTATAAAATAAAACCCCAGCAACTTGTTTTCTTTGTACTTTTCTTTTTTAAAAAAAAAATTCTGCTGCAGAATTTATATATATATATATGTGTGTGTGTATGTATATATATATATATATATATATATTAGTGTACAAATGCGTCTATGAATCCAGGTCGGATCCCTAAGGTTCATAAACTCTCAAGAGTCACACAATTTACAAAATGATGGGGGGGGGAGAGAAAAAAACAGAAGGGGGTACAACTGAACTTGGATCTTCTCAAGAAATCTGTACACCTCGGCCGTTATCGCCACCTCCACAAAATTTGTGCCAGAAATCAGGAAATTATCTTATTATATGTGGGCTTGAGGGAACAGTCTATATCAGGGTGTCCAAACACGGCAACAGTAAGACTTGGGGACTTCAACTCCCAGAATTCCCCAGTCACTATGGCTGGTTGGGGAATTCTGGGAGTTGAAGTCCGCAGGTCTTAAAAGCTGCCAAGGTTGGACGCCGATGGTCTAGATACCAATATTAGAAAAATTACATTGATTGTTGCAATACTGGATAAGGAGCCCCCTGCTTGCGTCCTCCGAACAATTTGAAACAATTGACAAATAATAACACCTCCCCGCAAAAAAAAAAAAAAGAGGGGATCAAACTGAAGAGGTCGCTTCCTGCCTCGGTTGTGTGAAATGCACCCGACGGACCAGCCTCCACATTTTCACAGGGACAATGAGGTCTAGAAACGTGCTCGTTCTAACACACGCAGGTATTTTCAAGAAGTCCAATTTGCTAAGGTCAATTCTCCCTCAGTCTTGTCTGGACTGACCTCCTTCTAACGAAAGAACAAAAAAGTGCGTAAGTCGGATGGAAGTCCAGATTTTTGTGAGCGAAAATTAAAAAAAAAAAAAAAAATTTGGAAAGGAAGCATCCGTGTTTCGGTAGCTTGTCGTTCTAAGCTGCCCTCCAGATGTTTGGGGGCTGCTGTTCCCAGAATTCTCAGTTTTAGAAAGGGCCAGGCTGGCTGGGAATTTGGGGAGCTGTAGTCCCACGCCAGGCGGTCCCCAGATTGGGGGATATAAGTGCGACGGGAAGAAGTCACCCCAGCTTCTTGCCCACCCAATTCGAACCAAATGTTTTGCTAAAATCCGACAAGTTCTGGCTGATTTTTGCCCAAGAGGGGAGCGCGATCCTTAGCAACATCGCGCGGTTTCAGGCACGATAAGGGCGTGTTCACAATTCCACCGGCTTTCACTCCTTTTATTTATTTTCCATCGTGGTTGACCAGCGCGTGCAACCTAAGGCTGAGCTGGAAAGATTTTTTTAACCACCGTTGCTCTTGACCAGTGGTTCTCAACCTTTTTAATGCCGCGACCCCAACCAGTCGTAAGTCGAGGACTAAACCGGTCGTAAGTCGAGGACTAAACCGGTCGTAAGTCGAGGACTACCCAACCGGTCGGAAGTCGAGGACTTTCCCTGCCCGGGAGCGCCGCACATGCGTGGTTCCGCCCCCTGCGCCAGCCGAGGCGTAGCTGGCAAGCGGCAGAGACGGAGCAGGCCGACCACCAGCTGGCCCACCTCAAGGGAGGTAAGGCACCCGCCATAAAAGGGGGAAAAAATGGCAGACAGCCTTGCTTGGCGACCCCCGTGAAATGGTCAATCGACCCCAAATGGGGTCGCGACCCATAGGTTGAGAACCGCTGCTCTAGACTTCGTGGGACCCTCCCACCCAAATCTGTCTGTTAACTCTTGCAAAACCTGTTAAAACACACCGTCCGGGGCCCAAAATAGATTTCGCGTTACATTGGGGGGATAAAAAATCAAATCCACGCTAATCCGACAGACGCCGATCTGTGCTGGCAAACCGTTCGAAAAGGATTCACATTAGGGGAACGAGACAAAGGTTGCGTCCTGTCGCATCGTCCCTGCAAAGTCCAAAGAATTTACTTCGTCTAAAGGGGTTCCCATCAGTTCCTCCGGGTTTCCTAGAGTAGCCCACATTGGCGAGAACCTCTTCCTTCCTTCCCTTTTCCACCAGGCGGTCCCGAGGCTTGGATGGACCGGCAATGCCCCCCCCCCCCGTCCACAAGTCACAATTCAGGACAGACCACCCTCCCCGTTCTCGTTTTTAACCAACACCGTGTTCCTCTGAAGGTATTCCTTTAACCGATCCAGAGGTGGCGGGAATTGCAACGAACTGCACGGAATGGTTTCCTATCCCGTCTCCTCTTCCGACGAGGATTCTCTTGCTGTATTTCGGCTCCGGGACCCACGAAGCAATTTGCTGAAAAAAATATCATCGCAACTGCTGGGATCCAAAACTACAATTTCCCCCATTTCTCTCTCTGTGGAGATGTATGCTTGCTCCCCAGGGCAGTCTCCTTATCTTTGGAGTCTTTTTCTCTCTCTTTTTCTTGCCGGCCGCCTGATTTGAATCCAAGCCCAGCAGCTGACCTCGGTAAAGTGCATGTATAAAAAAAGGAAAATAAAAATAAAAATTAAGAGACAAAACGGGAGCCTCGCCAGCGTTCCTGCGTCCTTGCAAGCTCCGTCTTGTTGGTGTTTCCCTCATTGGAGCATCTGTTCCCCTTCAGTGCATCCCGGGCGTGTTTCATGAGATAAAGGGGGTCCGGGAAAATGCTCCGAAACCGTGAGTAGCGGGGACCGAGAGTGGCGAGTCTCTGCGGGAATTGGAGTCCGTTCGAGAGGACAAGGGGGGAGCCGGGGGGGAGCTATACGAGGTTGGCCGTCCCAGGCAGGGGTTCCTGGGGGGGTCCGGGATGATCCGGCTTGCTGTGGAGCTGGGCCAGCTGCAGGACGGCCATGTTGCAGAGGGGGCAAACTTTCCGGACCTCCAGCCATTTAATGAGACATCTGTCAGAAGAGAGAGAGAAAAAGAAATGCTTTACGGATAATCCTCGCCTTACAACCACGACAGAGCCCCATATTTCCACATCCGTCCAGTCGATTCGGCCCCATTTTATCACCTTCCTCGCCACACCCCAATTAAATAAATCCCCACGGTTGTTAGGTCAGCAACCCGGTGCTTAAGGGACTTTGTCAGAAGGTCGCGAAAGGAAGACCCAGCACATTGCAACCGTCGTAAATACAAGTCGGCGGGTCAGTTTGGATCCTGTGACTCCCGGGGATGCTGCAGCGGCCGTGGAGTCTGAAAAACAGTCCTAAGTCGCTTTTAGCCAGGGCCCTTGCAACTCTGAACGGTCACTAAAAGAACCGTTGTAAGTCGAGGACTACCTGTAATCTGTAATCTGGATGGGGAGCAAATCGCAAGCAAAGCGATTCGGTGGTAGATTAGAGAGAGATTTTTATCCTGAACGTGCAACTTTTAGGAAAGAGGGATGAACGGACAAAAGGGTCCGCTGGAAAACGTGGCGTTATCGAACGTGGCGGGTTGCAGGAAAACAGGAGGTGGGGTCATGTTGGATATTTTATTTACTTATTAAATTTACTGGCCGCCAATCTTACCACAGGATAATTTGGGGGGGGGGCTTAACGTGGATGGGCTCCCCACCTTGAGTTAATTGTAAAAATAATAAAGGTGGAATACAGACAGTCCTTGACTTAGGATGAAAATTGAGCCCCACATTTTCATTGTTAGGCAAAGAGGTTGCTAAGTGACTTTCACCCCGTTTTACAGCCTTTTGGCCACAGTTAAGCGAATCACTGCAGTTGTTAAGTGAATCGTACGGTCGTTAAGCGAATCCAGTGTCCCTTTCCCCTCCCCTTTGACTACTTGTCAGAAATCCCCCAGGAAGGTTACAAATAGTGATCACACAACCATGGGACACTACAACTGTCATAAATACATGCCAGTGCCCGAATTTTGAACATCCCCATGGTCACATGTTGGCTGGGGAATTCTGGGAGTTGAAGTCCACAAGTCTTAAAAGTTGCCAAATTGGGAGACCCCTGCCTTAAATGACTGACAGCCTGAGCACAGCTGGCTGGGGAATGCTGGGAGTTGAAGTCCACAAGTCTTAAACATTGCCAAATTTGGAGAGCCTCTGACTGAAATGACTGACAGCCTGAGCATGGCTGGCTGGGGAATTCTGGGAGTTGAAGTCCACAAGTCTTAAAAGTTGCCAGATTTGGAAATCCGTATCCTAAGCGATCAGAACTTACTTTCTATGGAACGCATGTTTGCAGGGACAAATTCCCAGTTCATCTTTGGGTCTGAATTCTTCTAAACAAACCGCACAGATCTGGAAAAAAAATAAGCAAAAGAAACGTTTTTCAAAAGCCGTTTTGCGGAGATATATGGGGACATCTGAGGGGACAAGGCAAGATGGCCGACATAGCAACAAGAAACGCCTGCCTTGTGTCTGAGGCGGAAGCTAAGCAAGGTCAGGTCTGGTTCTCAACAGAATGAGATATCTCAGGATTTATAGGCCAGGTTGGGAGGTCATGAAATATCCGGAGATACAGGTAGTCCTCGACTTACAACGGTTTTGTTTAGTGACCGAAATTACAACAGCCCTGAAATGACTCACACTTTATGACCGTTGCAGCATCCCCTCAGTCAGGGGGATCAAAATCCGGACGCTTGGCCACTGACTCCTACTTGTGACGGTCGCAATATCCCCAGGGTCACGTGAGGAACCTTTGCGACCTTCGCACAAGCAAAGTCAATGAGGAAGCCGGATTTATTGAACAACGATGTCGCTAAGCAACTGCAGTGGTTCGCTTAATTATTGTGGCAAGATAGGTCGTAAAATGGGGCAGGACTCACTTAACAACTGTCTCGCTTAGCAACAGAAATGTTGGGCTCGGTTGTGTTTGTAAGGAGGACTACCTGTAATAGGAGAGAGTTTTTGTAGATACTTCTCCTTCCTTCCTTCGACCTTTTCTTTCTTTCTTTCTTTCTTTCTTTCTTTCTTTCTTTCTTTCTTTCTTTCTTTCCTTTCTTTCTTTTTCTTTTTCTTTCCTTCCTTCCTGACCTTCCGTTTTCTTCCCTCCTTTCCTTTCCTTTTTTTCGTTCCTTCCTTCCTTCCTGACCTTCTGTTCCCTTCTCTTCTTCTTTCCTTTTCCTTCCTTCGATCTTTTTTTCTTTCTTTCTTTCCTCTTTTTCTTTCCTGACCTTCCATTCTCTTCCCTTCCCTTCCTCTTTCCTTTTCCTTCCTTTGATCTTTTCTTTCTTTCTTTCTCTTTCTTTCTTTTTCTTTCTTTCTCTCTCTTTCTTTCCTCTTTTTCTTTCCTTCCTTCCTGACCTTCCGTTCCCTTCTTCTTTCCTTTTCCTTCCTTCCTTCAATCTTTTCTTTCTTTTTCTTTTTCTTCTTTCTTTCTTTCTCTTTCTTTCTTTCTTTCTTTCTTTCTTTCTTTCTTTCTTTCTTTCTTTCTTTCTTTCTTTCTTTCTTTCTTTCTTTCCTTTCTTTCTTTCTTTCTTTCCTTCCTTCCTTCCTTTCTCCTTTCCTTCCTGATCTTCCATTCTCTTGCCTTCCCTCCTTCCTTCCCTCCCTTTGTTTGCTCTTTAAAATCAATTTTGTCTTTTTATGATTTCACAGACAACCAGAGTTTGCAAGGGAATGTCAAAAGCACAGAAATGGGACAGGAAGGGATGGGGGTGGTGGTTAATAAAATAGCCAAAAGGAATTTTCTGGAAAATGAATCAATAATTCCAGTAAGTTGTCTTTGAGGGAAATTCTCCCTGCATCTATAAAAAGATCTCTCTTTTAGGAAACTTGCTTTGTTTTTTGCGCACAATGAAAACACCTACCGGGCATATCATCGAAAAGTCTTGGAAAAACTCATTAAAATTACATTTTAGGTACAAGGGTTTTCCCCCAGCTTCTGAGGAAAAATCATTCATTGTTATTTTTTTATTTTTTTTTAAACTGGCTGGGAATTTTCTCAAATTCGTAATCCTACTTTTAAAAGTGTTTCTGGGCATTGCTACGGAGTTGGAGTAAAACAGAAAACTAGCCTGTAGTTGAACTCAACAACACAAACACCCGTGGAGGTTGTTTTGGCCAGGAGTATCGTCCAGAAGCCTAGAGTCATCGGACAATGTTTTTTTTTTCCCCAACTTCCCGCAATCTTATTTTCAATTCTGGATTTTACTCATGGACTTCCTGTCTGAGTACGCCCCAGATCAAACCCTCCTTTTTCAAGGTAAGCCAAGGTCAGCTGGGTGGCGACATTTCCCCGTAAGCTAGGATTAAAGCCTGCTTTGATGGAGACCCAGTCTGACTGGTTTGGGGGCAGGAATTCTCCATTGTTTCTACGTTTGACAGCCAGGTAGACAAGACGGACATGATAGACAGACAGGTGAGAGACATGATAGAGATAGATAGATAGATAGATAGATAGATAGATAGATAGATAGATAGATAGATAGATAGATAGACAGACAGACAGAGACAGACAGACAGACAGACAGACAGACAGACAGACAGACAGACGGATGATAGAGATGGATAGATGATAGATATAAATAGATTAGATGTTAGACATGATATAGATAAAAGAGATATAGAGATAGACAGATATAGAGATGGATAGATGACAGAGAAGGATAGATATAAATAGATTAGATAGAGAGACATGATATAGATAGATAAATGATAAATAGATAAATATAGAGATATAGATAGATAGATAGATAATAGATAGAGATAAATAGATTACATGATAGATAGATAAGACAGACACTCCAAATGCAGTCTAAATTACAATGGATGTGACAATGGAGCTGGAGCTTGACTTATAACAAAATAGAACACAGCATAGAATAATAGGGTTGGAAGGGACCTTGGAGGTCATCTAGTCCAACCCCCTTTCTCAAGCAGGTAACCCTATACCATTTCAGACAAATGGCTGTCCAGTCTCTTCTTAAAAGCCTCCAGTGATGGAGCATTCACAGCTTCTGGAGGCAGGTTGTTCCACTGGTTAATTGTTCTAACTGTCAGGAAATTTCTCCTTAGTTCTAGGTTGCTTCTCTCCTTGATTAGTTTCCATCTGTTGCTTCTTGCCCTCTTCGGGGGCTTTGGAGAAGAGGTTGACACCCCCTTTTCTTCTTTGGGGCATCCCTTCAAAATATTGGAAGACTGCTATCATGTCACACACACCCCTTGGCCTTCTTGTTAGCCTAGACATATCTATTTCCCTCAATCATTCACCATACGGTTTAGCCTGCGATGCTGAGATCTTAATCAATGGTAGTTTAAGCAACCGAAAGACCAGCTTACCTCGTGCAAATTGAGCTCTTTGACCTTTTCCTTTAGGATAACCTGAAAATAAAAGAATAATATGTTGGTGGAGGAATGCTAGCATTGCAAAACAAAACAAAACAAAACCCCAGAATACAAGCCCGGAATTTTCCAAAGTCTTTAAACAAACTTTCCCTAAGCAGAAAGTCTACCTCCAGACACATGGGCCAACTCCCAGAATTCCCAGCAACAGTGATGTTGGACTGAGGAATTCTGGGAGTTGAAATCCAGGGTTGACTAAACGAAGGATGTTTTAAAGTTTAGGATCTGGCGGCAGATGGATGTGGCTCCCTCACTGAGGTCTTCTTGCTTATTCTGTTTATAAGAGAAATGCAGTGTCATCCAGTGGTTCTGTCCTTACTGGAGATGAATCATAGAATCCTAGGGCTGGAAGGGACCTTGGAGGTCTTCTAGTCCAACCCCATGCCCAAGGAAGGAATTTTTATACCATTCCAGACAAATGATTGTTCAATCTTTTCTTGAAAACCTGCAGCGATAGAGTACCAGCATTAATCTCCTTGATTAGGATAGGATAGAAATAGGATAGAAATAGGAATGGAATGGAATGGAATGGAATGGAATGGAATGGAATAGAATAGAATAGAATAGAATAGAATAGAATAGAATAGAATAGAATAGAATAGAATAGAATAGAATAGGAAAGAATAAGAATAGAATAGAAAATATATGGAATAGAATGGAATGGAATAGAATAGAATAGAATAGCAGAGTTGGAAGGTACCTTGGGGGTCATCTAGTCCAACCCCCTGCTTAGGCAGGAAACCCTATACGATTTCAGACAAATGGTTGTCCAATCTTTTCTTTAAAACTTTCCGTGTTGGAGCATTCACAACTTCTGGTGGCAAGCTGTTCTACTGGTCAATTGTTCTAACTGTCAGGAAATTTCTCAGTTCTAGGTTGCTTCTCTCCTTGATTAGTTTCCATCCGTTGCTTCTTGTTCTGCCTTCAGGCGCCTTGGAGAATAGCTTGACTCCCTCTTCTTTGGGGCAGCCCCTGAGATATTGTCATTAAACTGGACATACCCAATTCAAGCCACCGTTCCTTATATGTTTTGGCCTCCAGTCCCCTAATCATCTTTGTTGCTCTTCTCTGCACTCTTTCCAGAGCCTCAACATCTTTTTGACATCGTGGTGACCCAAACTGGATGCAGTATTCCAAATGCGATCTTACCAAGCCAAGAGAACATAACTGCCACAAATAATGAGAAATTACTGTAAATTACTTGGATGAGGGAAAGGGACCCCGGGCTCACCTGTTTGTAGGCGTAAAGCTCTTTATGGGCTTGATGTCTTAATCTGGAAAACAAAAACAAATATACATATATATATATATGCAAAAGGAGACACACGCATACACACTGGCCGGCATACACACACAAAAAAAGCACATTGGAAACAAGGAGAAAAACGTTAACAGCTCATCTTAGTCTCGTCCCTCTGAATTTCCTCTGAGCATAATTTACCAAAAAATCAGTGATGTGGGCTTGTGGTTGCAACCACAACTAGAACTCAATCTTCCAAATGTGTCGTCAGTGTAACTAGCCATCATTATTGGCCACGGTTTGTTGCTGTAGGCAGCAAGATGTGGACAGATAAGAAAAAGAACCAGGGGGGGGGAAGTCTTGAAATTCTTCCTCCTGACTGAAGGAGAGAAGAGATGGGTTCACCCAGGTTCATTCAAAGCAACTCTTGGTTTAGCACAGGGGTGGAGAACTTTGGCTCTTTTATGACTGGTGGACTTCAACTCCCAGAATTCCTGAGCCAGCCATGCTGAGGGGAAAGGGAGAGGTTTCCAAGCTGAGCCATGCTGGCTGAGGAATTCTGGGAATTGAAGTCCACGAGTCATGAGGGGGCCATAGTTCCCTGATGCTGGCTCAGGAATTCTGGGAGTTGAAGTCCACAATTCATGAAGGGGCCATAGTTCCCCCATGCTGGTTCAGGAATTCTGGGAGTTGAAGTCCACGAGTCATAAAGCAGCCTAGGCCTAGGCCAGAGGTAGGCAACCTTGGCCCTTTTATGATTCGTGGACTTCAACTCCCAGAATTCCTGAGCCAGCCATGCTGAGGGGAAAGGGAGAGGTTTCCAAGCTGAGCCATGCTGGCTCAGGAATTCTGGGAGTTGAAGTCCACCAGTCATAAAAGAGCCAAGGTTGCCTACCCCTGGTTTAGCATAACTTGCTCATGGCTTGCCCTGGGAGTGGTCTTGGAGGGGGGGATTCCTTCAACTGGGAAACCCAGCATCCTAGATGAAGCCAAGTCCCCAAACTATAGAGAATTCCTGGAAGTTTGGCATTCAGACAAATCGGTCATCGACAAGCACATAGAGATAAACAACATCTACATGCCATTCAAAAGAGACCACCAAAAAGGTAAAATACCTCCTGGCCAGCTATCTGCACCCAACTCAGCGGAGATTAACACCAAGATTAATACTAAACAAATAATCAAACAGTAAACAACAGTCTAATCAAGAGGCCACCAGGAAAACTCCCATTAATACCGACCTGGCAAGCCATTTGTACAAACTCCATTCCCTTCTAGCACTGATGATGTTACCTAGTTAGATAATGAAATGTCTGCAAGAAAACCACCAATCTCAGAGAGCATCAAGGACCCCACAATCCTCCTCCTTCTCCTCCCCTCCCTTCTAGCACTGATGATGTTACCTAGTTGGGTCATGAAACATCTACAAGAAAACCACCAAGCTCAGAGAGCACCAGGGACCTCACAGTCCTTGTTTTTGTCCTCCTTCTCTGCAAACCCCATCCCCTTCTAGGGCTGATGATGTGATCAATTGGGGTCATGAAACATCTGCAAGACCACTCTGAGAGTACCAAGGACCCCATAGTCCTCCTCCTCCTCCTCCCTGCAAATCTCTTCCCTTCTAGCACTGATGATGTTACCTAGTTGGGTCATGAAACGTCTGCAAGAAAATCACCCAGGTCAGAGAGCACCAAGGACCCCACAGTCTTCCTCCTCCCCCTCCTCCCCTCAAACCCCACACCCATCTAGCACTGATGATGTTACCTAGTTGGGTCATGAAACATCTGCAAGAAACCCACCAAGCTCAGAGAGCACCCAGGACCTCACAATTCTCCTCTTCCTCCTCCTCCTTCAACCTACAAACCCCACTCTCTTCTAGCACTGATGATGTTATCTAGTTTGGTAATTAAACATCTGCAAGAATATGCGACACCCAGAAAAATATGGCATACTCCATTTAATCTTTCAGGGAAAGGTTGAAGGCAAACAAGGTCCAGACAGAAGAAGAACATCAAGGCTTCAAAATCTAAGGGACTGGTTTGGACAAAACTCAGCAGCACTTTTTTGTGCGGCTGCTGATAAAAACAGGATCGTCAATGTCCGATAACGGATATGGAAGAAGAAGAAAGAAGAAGAAGAAGAAGAAGAAGAAGAAG